AATGGCTTCCCCCCCATAACGTCCCTCCCACCCGCAACCCTCCCCTTTCCCACTCCCTCTCCCCTTCCATTCACATCAAGATTCATTTTTGATTCTCTTTATATACAGAAGATCAGTTTAGCATACATTAAGTAAAGATTTCAACAGTTTGCTCCCACACAGAAACATAAAGCGAAAAATACTGTTTGAGTACTAGTTATAGCATTAAATCTCAATGTACAGCATACTAAGGACAGAGATCCTACATGAGGAGTAAGTGCACAGTGACTCCTGTTGTTGACTTAACAAATTGACACTCTTGTTTATGACATCAGTAATCACTCTAGGCTCTTGTCATGAGCTGCCAAGGCTATGGAAGCTCCCTGAGTTCACTGACTCTGATCATATGTAGACAAGATTTTTTGTGATTTTAGAGTTTTGTTTAAATGAAATATTTGGCTTAATAAAAATTTCAACTAGATATACTATATTGCCAATAAATATCATATATGTTGCTTACTACTTTATTCTTTGAGTCTATATTTTTCTGCTTATAAACAATCTTAAAACTTTTTTTTGGCTTTTTAAGGCCAAACTTTTAATTCTGAATGGCTCAGAAATATATTTAGCCGGCGCCGCGGCTCACTAGGCTAATCCTCCACCTAGCAGTGCCGGCACACAGGGTTCTAGTCCCGGTCGGGGCGCCGGATTCTGTCCCGGTTGCCCCTCTTCCAGGCCAGCTCTCTGCTGTGGCCCGGGAGTGCAGTGGAGGATGGCCCAAGTGCTTGGGCCCTGCACCCGTATGGGAGACCAGGAGAAGCACCTGGCTCCTGGCTTCGGATCAACGTGGTGTGCCGGTCACAGCACGCCGGCTGCAGTGGCCATTGGGAGGTGAATCAACGGCAAAGGAAGACCTTTCTCTCTGTCTCTCTCTCACTGTCCATTCTGCCTGTCAAAAAAAAAAAAAGAAAGAAAGAAAGAAAGAAATATCTTTAAATTTTTGAATTTCATGGGAATGCAGAAAAAAAATGGTTCCTTATTCACACAGATATGACATGCATTTCATACAGCTTGCCTCATTTATTCCCAGGCTAGAGGGTATGATGACTGTTTTCATATCATGACGACAGATGAGGTGATTTGTCCAAGTGCCCACTGTCGTTAAAAAATAAGTTTACTGAGTACAAATTCTCTTCTACCCTGTGCCTGAGAATGCTTTGGGGCATTTTATCTGAGCTAGCAGGGCTACCCACGTTTAGCTCACGAGTGTGACATGTTGCTCTTTATGGATGCCAAAAGAAACTTCATCTGGCAGTGAGAATCACTCTGCAAAAGTGGTTACTTCCTTCTGGGCTTATTTCTCTCTGGCCACAATGGCTGCTTTTCCTGGAAAAGTCTAAACAAGTTTCTACCATGGCATCCCACCTTCTTTTTTAATGACTATCCTCATTGTCCATTTGGAAGATTTCTCTCTGTTTTTTCTATCTCTTTCTCTGTTACTCTGCCTTTCAAATAAATAAATAAATAAATGTTTTTCAGAAAAAGTCCATTTAAAAAATCTAATCACCCATAATCCCAATACTCAGAAATAACCAATGCTAATACTGAATTTTTATTTTTTTCAGAATTGCAATGACTCTAAATCCTTAAATGCAAGGCAAAGAGATGGAGTAGAGAATTTCTTCCAGTGCCACACTGTGTGGTTTCTCACAAAAAACGTATCGGGGGCCGGTGCTGTAGTGCAGTGGGTTAATGCCCTGGCTTGAAGCACCGGCATCCCATATGGGCGCCAGTTTGAGACACGGCTGCTCCACTTCCGGTCCAGCTCTCTGCTATGGCTTGGGAAGGCAGTAGAGGATGGCCCAAGTCCTTGGAGACCCGGAAGAAGCTCCTGGCTTCGGATCGGCACAGCTCTGGCCATTGCGGCCAACTGGGGAGTGAACCATCAGATGGAAGACCTCTCTCTCTGCCTCTCCTCTCTCTGTGTAATTCTGACTTTCAAATAAATAAATAAATCTTAAAAAAGTACCTATCTTCATTCTATGCTTTCTACTTTCCCATTTGTCTACCCTTAAGCTTCTGTGTGATAACACATGGCTCTTAGTTTGGGAAGACCTGTTTTTTTCTGAACTATATGATTTCTCTCCCTTTTATTCTTCAATGCATTTGAGTTGGATGCAAGCATCCAATTCTTTGGATACACAGCATCTGAATCCTGTCCCTGACTACCTACCTGTTGGCCTTGGGACTCATCCATTGGTCCAACCACATTCTAAGACAGTCCTTTTCAGCTGTGGATGTTTTGGCTTCCATAAACAGCATGCCCATCATATTTTGGGCCTCCAGCACACAGGTTCTCCTAAAGCATTGAACTTCCATGTTTGGCCCATAATTTCTAAACCAAATTTAATCTGGGTGTGACTCTTCCTTTATTGGAGTCAAACTAACCTTGAATAAATCCTTCTGCAGACAGGCTAATTCTCTCTACTCAGACACTGCATTCTGAGTAAGCAGGACTGGTTTCATCTCTGCCGCTATTTAATTAAGGTTTTGCTTTAGTTTTAACCCATAATTTAACAAAACAAATTTTCCAGTTCTATGCTGATCATATATCTTGTGAAGAAGGATTATCTCCTGCCTACCACCAAAAGCAACCTTGAGGGCTTTCTTGTGCTTGTTGATAAATGATTGCCTCCTGGTCCTACTCTTCACCCTTATAATTACTTGGGTGACTATGAAAATGAAGGAAGTCGTTTTCCCTAGTTCTTCCTGCCGGCCTGGTGTTGAACCTGAGTTCTTCCTTGCAATAAAATGATATGGCTCTAAATATAAATATCATCACTTTCTGATTTGGGGAGATTGGATGTAGCAGTTGAGCAGTTTGCAGCAGGCTTTGTCTACAAAGTGGGAATAACAAATTCCTACCTCACAGAGATAGTGTGAGGATTAATACGTTAAAGAATACCAAGCACCTGACATTTAAACCTTAGTGTGTCTTCCCCGTCAAATTATTTCTTTTTCTTCTCTCTTTCAAAGACTGCTTCTACACCTGTCCTAAAGAAGGAAGCCCAAATCTATTTTGACACTTTGTAAAACTGCACGTGTCCATGAGCTCTGTACGTTGAAGAAACATCTTGGGAAGGTAATTGTGGCTCCAGTTTACTGTTTTCCAAAGATCTTTTGCAGTATGGATGCTCTGTATGTCACGGTTGGGAGGTTCCATGTGAGAAATGCTATAGATTATAGCTTTACCTTGAAGAGCTACAATACATATTAGCTTCCTAAAGTTTCTTAAAGAAGTCCTGGGGTAAATACATTTATTTATTTTACACACTTATTTTACTGTGGGCCCTTTTCTTATGTAAAACAACTTTTAGTTTCCTAAGGAACACATTGTGATTTCCTTCCTTGGCCCTAACCACATCAGTCCCCTCATCTCCTTTTATTAATAAGTGGCATGTGTGGTGCAGATTCTTTTACCAATTTGTGTGGCATTAGGGGGAGTGGTTAGAGAAAAATTTGGAAATTTGAATTGGAATGAATACATTCTAGGCTAATATACAGCACGCTGTTCTTAGTGATGACCTGGAAAAATCTGTGAAAAGGAAATTAAAAGATAAGTTAATTTTGGTGCAACAAATTTTGAAAACCATGCATATTGGGAAGTTCAAAAGTTCACATAAATGCATAGTATATAAAAAGCTACACATGCATTTCAAAAATGTTTTGCACCAAAATATATTCTTTTAACTCTAGAAGTGCCTGTGTATGCCATGAATGCGAAAACACAAACGTCAGACCTACAATCAGATAATCAGAATTTGGCACAGTGAATGCATAAGGTACAGATTATTTCACTCTGAAACCCCAAGAGGCTGCGCAAGTATGGGTACCGTTCCCTATTAGTGCAGAAGTGAGTCTCATCTCACCCCCACACTGCTTTCTGAAGGTGGGCAGATGCGGCTCATAGCGCCCTAGAGTCCAGCCAGAGCCGTGGCTTGTCTGCATCAATTCTGATGTCCCACCCTTCTGCCCAATACAGGATAAGGTTTGAAGTAGTCCCTTGACAGTAGGGACTCCATTTTGGAGCACTTGAGACTCCATTCTGGGAAAGCACCACCCCCACCGTGAGACTCTGGTCTGAAACTATGATCTCAAATAGTCGGACAATAGCAGTGCACTACATCACCCTTGGCAATACACAAAAACCCCCTAGCATGATTGCTCAAGCTTAAAAGTAGAAAGGTTGCACCTGGGTTACCTGGGCTAATAATGAAGATGTGATTTGTCTATGTCTTAAGATCATAATTGCTGATTGTAAGATTTTAGCAACCGCTTAGCAACCGTGTATTCTCTCCCTCCTCCCGATTTTGCAGTTTTTGCCTTTATAAACCCTATGCTGTAGTTCCTCACTGCTCCTCTGTCCTTGTCAGAGGGCCCCAACATGTTGGATCAATAAAGTTAACCCTTTGCTGGTTGCATGAGAGAAAAAGTCTCTTGGAGTCGTTCCTTGGGCGGTGGGCTTTTTTGGATCCTAACAGGTTCAGAGGGCCGAGAACGCTGTTGTTGAGCAACATCATTATTGCTTTACAAGCATGGATTCGCTGTTCCGAACTCCAACAGTAAATCAGGGACTTGCGTTAAGAGCTTTTTCCATGTAAAGCCCGGACTCTGCTACTGCCGCATTCCTCCTAAGAGCCTTCGCTCTCTGCATCCAAGCTCCGCTTTCTAGAGAGGCCTTCATTAACAACGCCGCAGCAGGACATTAACTAGCATTCACTCTGGGTTGTCTGCTTTGCGGAAAGAAGCGGAGCAGAGGACAATGCTGCCCCCCAGCGGAATCTGCGAAGAGCTGGGAGCCTTCCAGGGAGCTTGCCCTCACCTCAAGGATCTGAACCCGCAGCATTTCCAGCTCCGTTCCCCGAGAGCCAGTGCGGAGGAAACTGAGGGTGCAGAGTGTGCTGGGCAGGCAAGGAGGAAGAGCCAGGGAAACAGGACTAGGCGAGCCCAGTGTCGATCAACTTCCCGACACTACAGCCTTCCGTTAAATCCGGATTCTGAGTCCCGGCCTGAGAGATTGTAACAGGCCGGGAATGGAAAACAGGTGGATCTGGGTTTTCAGACAGCGTGATTCTGGCCGACTGACGAATTTGGTTATCCTGTGGGGGGAGCAATCTTCCGGGTCTCTGGCAGGGGCAGAGTTCTTGCGGGTCAAGGGATCCCAGAAGTCGCTTTTCTTTGGCGCAATCCCCGCAGCGACTTCCGGCGTCTCCCGGGCAACCAAGACCGGCCCCGCCCACCCGCCGGGAGCCCCGCCCACCGCCGCCGCGGTTTCTATGGCGACCCCGGCGCGCGGCGTTCGGATTCCTTAGGTGGTGAGAGAAACCAGGCGTCTGCCCTGGCGTGCCTCGCCCGACCTTGGAAGCGAGATTTCTCGTCCAGAACAGAGGTAGCTTTGCTACTATTATTAATGTTATTATTTGGCTACTGTTTAATCTTGAAAGGCGCTTTGCTTTTTGTATTTTGGAGAGCAGGGGAATCATATATGGAACTTTCTGTCTAGCGCTAGTTCTTAGCATTTTACGTTCAGACTTACACGCTGTGGACAGACACTCTGGTGAAGGAATCCGCGAGGCCGAGCCGGTTAGCAGGTTACCTTCGCGCAGGCCTGGCGTAGGGGCGAGCCCTGGGGTATGTGTGGCTGCCCGCCCTGAGACGGTTCCGAAACCGCGGACGTTCTGTCCCCTCTGGTCTGTGCGGTCCACCCTGTTCAAGTCTGCTGCCTCAGACTGTTTGAGACTGAGGAGGTCAAGTTCCCCTGTCGGGGAGCAAAGGCTGTGAAGTCAAACACCCCATGGTGAGCTTGGTGCACAGGAACCCTAAGAAGCATTGCAGCCAACTTCTGTTAGGAGAGACACGCTCTGATTGTATACAGTTTATAAAGGACACAAACCATTGCACACGGGAGAGGAGGAGAGGGAAGGAGAGCTAGCTGTCTCATGTGCTCTCTCAGCCTCAGATACCCAGAGTGGCCAGAGCAGGGAGCTGGGAACCCAGTCCAGGTTCCACGTGGTTGGCAGGAACCCTCACTGCTGCCTACCTGGGTCTATATTAGCAGGAATCTGGAGTCAGGAGCTGGAGCCAGGATGGAACCTGGGTACTCTGCTGTGGGACTTGGGCACTTTAACTGGTGCCTTAACCACTTACGCCAGACACCTGCCCCAGAACTCTGAATTCAAAGTTTGCTAAAGGAGAAAGAACAAAGTGAGTGAGTGTTTCAGAATGTTTGCAATTATCATGTAAATTTTGAGAAGGAAACATCAGTGGCATGCATGATTACTGAGCCATGGACCTAAGATGTATCTTAACAGCCATGAACCTAAGAGGTATTTATTTCTGTACCACAAGATAGCAAAATAGTGTAAGCCTTACCTCTTCCTCCTGTTTTTATGAGTGGGGAAACTGGTGTGTTTCTGCTACTTACACAACAGCATCTTGGATTAAAATAACTTGAAAAAAAGTGCAATTCACCTTACGCAAGCTTGTGAAGGAAGTAACCGATGGGGAAAACTCTCCTAGTTTTTCCTGCCCCCCATTTAACATAGAAGTTTCAGGAATCTCTAAGCCAGGACTAAGGAAAGACTCCCCTGGGCCGGCGCTGTGGCTCACTAGACTAATCCTCTGCCTGGGGCGCCGGCACCCTGGGTTCTAGTCCCGGTCGGGGCGCCGGATTCTGTCCCGGTTGCTCCTGTTCCAGGCCAGCTCTCTGCTGTGGCCCAGGAAGGCAGTGGAGGATGGCCCGAGTGCTTGGGCCCTGCACCCCATGGGAGACCAGGAGAAAGCACCTGGCTCCTGCCTTTGGATAGGCGCAGAATGCTGGCTGCAACACACCGGCCGTAGCGGCCACTTGGTGGGGGGTGAACCAACAGAAGGAAGACCTTTCTCTCTGTCTCTCTCATTGCCTGATTCTGCCTGTCCAAAATTGGCAGAAATGCTCATGTGCTCTGCTCTGGAATAGTTATATATAAACAGTGACACTAAATGAGAGTGTTTTTAAAATTTATATAATGAGAAGAAATTTCATGTATTTCATATATACCTTTTTAAGAGCATAATCATACTTTCCACTTTACCCTCCTTTCCTCTCTCACTCTCACCATCTCCTTTTCTTATTTCTCATTTAATTTTTACAATGATATACTTTCATTTCACTTTATAATTACAAGCTTGCAGGAACTGCCAGTTTGAGAACTGCTTACAGCATGAAAAATTTCACTATTGTGTAATGCCCTAGTCATGAAACTACTGTTCTCTATCAGGCTGACCTTGAACAAGTTATTTAAACATGCTAGCCCTCAGTTTCCTAATCTGGAAAATAAGAATGTTTTATAATGTCAAATGCATTTTCTCAGTGGTAGAATCCTTTCCTTAAAAGGAATCTCCGTATTTGGAATGAACTTCTGTAGTTGAGGTAATGAGAGTTTCAACTCCTGGGGTTCCTTCAGTTCCCAAGCCCCCCATCATGGTCTCTGGTTCTCCTTGCAATCCTGGAGTTCTGCAGAATGTGTGAAAGTAGCTAGATAGTATTTCTTCGTGATCTGTAATTGCTCCTTTGCCTTCTAATACCAGGGATGAGTAATTTTCCCCTAGAAAATTCCATGATACCAATTATTGTTACTTTCAGGACAGACATGGTTATCTTTAGAAACTGTTTGTCGGGCCGGCGCCACGGCTCACTAGGCGAAATTGCCCATGTATATTGTTTAGTATTAGCACCATGTGTATAGCGTTATATATTTTTTATTTAGCAACTCATAAAGATGTATTGATTTGTGAGACTCAGTTTAAATTTTTAGTCTAAAAATAGTAATTCTATGTATTTGTTGGCTAGAAAGTGAATTTAAATACATGTACACTTGCAGAATGATTAAATCAGAGTGTTAGCATATCCATTCTCAAATATTTATCATTTTTTGTGGTAAAAACATTTAAAATCCTCTCAGCTACTTTATATATACAATATATTATTGTTAACTGTAAATACTTTGAGGTACAATAGAACAACAGAACATATTTTCCCTATTGCAACTTTATGCCTGTTGGCAAATGTCTTTCTTTCTCTGTCTGTCTTCACCCCTGCGTCTGATAGCCACCATTCTACTCTACACTTCTATGAGTTCAGCTTTTGCAAATTACACATATAAGTGAAATCATATGGTATTTGTCTCTATGTGCCTAGAATATTTCATTAACATAAAGTCAGAGTTACACAGAGAGAAGAGGCGCAGAGAGAGAGAGAGAGAGAGAGAGAGGTCTTCCATCCACTGGTTTACTTCCCAGATGGCCACTCTGGCCAGAGCTGTGCCGATCCGAAGCTAGGAGCCAGGAGCTTCTTCCAGGTCTCCCATGCCAGTACAGGGGCCCAAGGAGTTGGGCCATCTTCTACTGCTTTCCCAGGCCACAGCAGAGAGTTGGTTTGGAAGAGAAGCAGCCGGGACTCGAACCGGCGCCCATATGGGATGCCGCCACTTAACCCACTGTGCCACAACACTGATCCCAAGATTAATTCTTCTAATGTACAAACAGAAGATTTCTTTCCATTGATTTGTGTTATCTTTTATTTTTATCAGTATTTTATAGTTTTCAGGATAGAGATCTTTTGCTTCTGTAGTTAAATTTACTCCTACGTATTTTATTGTTTTGATTCTATTGTAAATGGAATTTTCTTAATTTTTTATTTAAACTGTTCATTGTTAATGTTCAGTTTGTTGTTAGAAGTAAACTGATCTTTCTAAGTTGATTGTCTATGCAGAAATTTTACTAAATATATCAATTCAACAAGTTACTAGTAGAGTCTTAAGAATTTTCTATATATAACATCATAGCATCAGCAAACTGAGATGATTTTATTTATCATTTCCTACTTGGATGCCTTTTATTTATTTCTCTTGCCTAATTGTTTTGGATAGGACTTCCAGTACTATGTTAGACAAATTGGATGGCAGTGGTCTTGTTTTGTATCTTAGAGAAAAAGCCTTCTTAGAGAAAAAGCCAACTTTTCACTGTTAAATATCTTAACTGTGGACTTGTGAAATATGTATTTATTTCTACTTCTTTGTATAATTTGAGGAGAGTTTTTATCATGAAAGGATGTTGAAATTCATTTTTCTGCTTCTAGTGAGATAACCATGTTTTTTTTTTTTTTTTCCTTTCATTCTATTTATGGTGCATTGTATCTGTTGATTTGTACATATTGAGCCAACCTTGTGTCTCAGGAGTAAATTCCACTTAATCATTATGAATGATCCTTTTATTGTATAATCGGTACACTTGAGAATAATGTATATTCCGTTGTTAGTTGGAATGTTCTCTATATATCCGTTCAGTCCATTTGGGTTAAAATAAGGTTCAAGTCCAATGTTTCCTTATTGATTTTCTGTCTGTATAATCTGTCTAATATTGAAAGCAGGGTATTGAAATCCCCTACTATTGTGTTACAGTCTTTGTTTCCATTTGATATGTTAATGTTTTATGTATTTAGGTGCTATGATGTTGGGTGCATATATTTTTATGCTTGTTAAATGTTCTTGGTTATTTGACTGTTTATTGTTATGTAATGACTAAAGTCTATTTTATTTGAAATAAGGAACTACCCTACTCTCCTTTGGTTTCCATTTGCATGGGATATGTTTTTCCATCCTTTCACTTGTAGTCTATAAATTTCCTTTAAGGTGAAGTGAATATCTTTTTTTTTTATCTCTAATTCTTCTAGAGTTACAGAGAGAGGTAGAGACAGAGAAAGAGAGGTCTTCCATCTGCTGATTCACTCCCCAGTGGCTGCAATGGCCAGAGCTGAGCCAATCTGAAGTCAGGACCCAGGAGCCTCTTCAAGGTCTCCAATGTGGGTGCAGGGGCCCAAGGACGTGGGCTATCTTCTACTGCTTTCCCAGACCATAGCAGAGAGCTGGATTAGAAGAGGAGCAGCAGGGATTTGAACCAGTGACCATATGGGATGCCAGCACTTCAGGCCAGTGCTTTAACCTGCTATGCCACAGTACTGGCCCGGGTGAAATGAATATCTTAAAGTCTGCATAGAGTGGGTCTTCTTTATTTAAACCTATTCAGCTAGTGTATGCTTTTTATTTAGTAATTAACTATTGATAGGTGAGAATTTACTAAGACCATTTTGTTAATTGCTTTCAAGATGTTTTATACATATTTTCTTCCTTTTTCCCTCTTCTGCTTTCTTTCTTTGTGGCTTGATGGCTTTCTATTGTAATATGCTTTGGATTTTTCTTTTTTTATCTTTTGTATATCTATTGTGGGTTTTTGCTCTGTGGTTACCCTTACAACTTATATACAACATCATATATTTTTTAAAGATTTATGTTATTTATTTGAAAGGTAGAGTTACAGAGAGAGAGAGAGATAGAGAGAGAGAAAGATCTT